ATTATCCTCCCTCGTTCAAACTCCGTAAGTTGCTTGAATTTCTTATTCTTCCGTCGTGGAGGCATACTCAGGTCTCACTAAACGTTTGCCACTAACAAATAATCATAGACTATTTTCAACGTCCCGCTACAGCACTTTATTTATACGCTTTCAGCATCAATTCAGAGGGCGCTGCGCGCGCCACGCACGCGCGATGGCTCTGAAACTTTATTAATTTGCATAATATCCTATAATTGACATTTGCTGCGAATTTCATTTGATTCTGATGATTCCTTCATGGTGTTGCATTTTCTACAAACAGCAGTTTTATTGGTTTTGTTGGCGATGATCTCGTAAGGCGATAAAGATTCACGCATAGTACAGGTAAGGAAGATATTAACCTCGAAGGAAAAGTGGATGAATACCCCTAGGAATGGAGTGAGTTGATTCTGCGGAAAATTACTGCTTCACATGAATAATGGAAACTTATAAAAATACTCATACATAATAAATTTCCCAAAATTTGTACATTAAATAGAATAACTCATAGGTCCTAAGTTAATTAAAAATTATGTCCATACACATAATTTTGCATTGCAAAACACACGTTTTAAAAGTGACGTTATTTTTCAACAATCCGTTCTTTTTTACGCCTTTTACAATGAAACCTCTACTTACCTTTAGGGTCTTATCTTAGGGTAGTTACTTAAAATACTTAACTTAAATTAACGTTCAATAGCCTGAGCCTCATCAAATAGCCTATTTTATTTCGGGATGTTTGCAATGAGCACAAATAACTGAAGACTTACTACTATGAGCGTAGTAAACTAAATACATAAATTAATTTCCTTAAATTTGTTCATCATTAAGTCAACTTTTTCATCGAAAAGTTTTCAACTTTTACTATTCACAGTGACGCGATAGTATTTAACATGAGCCACATTGCAGTATTTTATTTTCAATTATTTACGAAGCATTAATAATAATTTCTATAATTCTCTATTGAAAGAGTGAGCTTCGGCTTTTTCGCAAGACAAAAAATCTATATTTAGATATACTGTTAGAGAAATGACAAACCAAATTTTACTTGAATGTACAGATTTCATTTTATTTATTTGTTGTTTCGCACTTTTAATCATATATACAATTAAACCCGACTGTAAATGATCTATTGCTATTCATAAAGACTTAATAGACGTCAAACTAACAACAGAATTCTTTTATTATTCTAGTATACATTATGCATATAGACTACAAAAGTATAAAATTGACTAACATTTCGCAGTTTTTTTAAACTTATACCCTTTTTAAAGTCAAACAGTTGATGTGAAAGGCAGCAAATCATTGTTTACACGCCTGACTTCTAAATTAGAATTGTTACTCCAATTTATGTTAACTTAATAAGTTATATTAATTAAATTAAGGCATTGGAAACAGCTTACTTGCACTATTTATCAAGGTTCTTAATTTGAACTCGAAATAGACACGAGCTCAAATAGAACAAACGTGCAGAGCATTAAATCCTTTCTTTTTGACTTTTCTGATTAAAACAGATTTCAGCGTAAGACTTCGTATTCTTTTATCTTTCATATGTTTAAGCAAAACTTCGATACTTTTTATAAGTTTTATGCAAATGTAATACACACGCGACAAATAATTCCCGTTTTATCGAGCATCTTAAGCCTCCTTGTAAGAAGAGCCATATGAAATGTTAACAGCATCAAATAAATAACTCGACAAGCTACCCCCCCCCCTATTGTATGCCTAACCAATCTCTCTGTAGCTTATTCTTTGGCGAAGAAAATTTATCATGAAAAGAGCAACTGTTTTTGGCACTTTGGCGTTAAGAAGAGAATTCAACAGCCTATTTAAAAGTATTATGAGCTTAAGTTAGATCGGAAAATTCTTTCCTCCTTGGAGACACAATATTTGGCAACAAGAACTGATGAGGGGAAGGACTTAGTTACTGTAGAATAAATTTAAATGAAATAACAGAGTTTAGGGTTTTGCTTTCAAAATAATATTGTTCATTTATGTAATTGAGTATTTTTTTAAACTTTCTTGTTCACTTTATTTCGTAAAAATAGTTTTAACTTCTGGTGTGCATTAACAAATCTTCTTAAAATAATATTTAGAAAAATCTCTTACTGTATTGTAGTTGAATGGCTGCAACGTGTTAAAAATCGAAATAATAAGTGAATACTTACCTACCAATTTATTCCGATTTATCGGAGCAATTTATTTGAATATTTAAAGTGGTAGTACATTTTATGATTTAACAATATATTATTAATTTAATAATTGACATTTAGAATCGATTTAACAGTTTAAATCAATGAATTTAATTAAAACAGTATACTATCGATATCTCGAACACCTTATTATGCCAAAAAGATATTTTTCCTCTTGGCATTATATGTTATGTCAAATTTTTTTCGAAATAAAAAATCTATTTTTTCGGAAAAATCACAATATAAGTTTATTGTAAACCAATTATCTTATTTTTAATGCATAATTATTTTTGTGTTGTATTTAGACTCATAGTCAACTATGCTCACACATTTAATTGTAGTTATTCTTATGTTTTATGACTCTACTTTTTAGAGTAATATTTTAGAATTTCTTTTTCCACTTTTAAGAAAATATTTAGTTCTGAACTTGTTATCTCGAAAACTTGCTATCTCGAAAATCTTATAGCGTCCCTTCAATTTAGAGATATCGAGAGTATACCGTAGATTAAAATCACTACTTCACACTATTTAAATGTATCTATGAAACCTTTTACTTTGCAGAAAAGTTTCGAAAGTACGGGGAAAATTAGAAGAAAAAATTTAAGCTTAACTCAAATTTTTATTTAGCTACATCTTTAAATATTCTGGGAAGTTAGAATTTCCAGGCGCGTGCAGTTAAGAGAATTTTCAAACATTCCGATTAATGAAACATAATTATATGGCTATTAAATTATATCGAGATAACAGAGATTGGTTTAAACAACATCATCAAGAGTTTAAATAAACAGATTGTAATTTAAAAATTTCCAAAAGTAAATATATAGATTGCTTTAAACATTTAGATACGTGAAATGCTATTAAACCATGCTGAGATGACATGGGTTGATTTAAATAAAATTTTCAAAAATTTAAATCAATCGTTATTTAAAAATAAATTAAAGCATGGACAGGGATAGATCAAAACAAGAAGTAGCGTAAATAAAGTAGTGAAATGGACATTACTAAAGCTTTGCGCTCCCTAAACAAGAACCTTTCTCTGTGTCTGAACACGAAATGACATAAAAAAAGGTAAGCACGTGCAAAGTGGTTTAACCAATCAGGATGACTGAACAAGATAATAAAAAGAAGGGTGATAAGAAGCAGGTGTGAGGTGATTTGGAGATATACAAACATTGAGAGGGGATAAGATATTAAAAACATCAGGAACTAAATTATTAAAATTTTAAAATATAGTAAGTGATACCCAAAAATCAAGCTCGGTAGATAAAGAAGAGATGTTGAATGATTTTAGCAGAATCACTCAAACCTGTGATTAAAAATTCCAAAGACATAAGGCGATAGAGGATTGTTGGTATCTTGATTTTTGGCGTATCCTTCATGCAGGGGGCATTTAGTTTGTTCATTATGTAACTGACAGAGCCGTGAAGGCTCAGGGGCGAGGGCGTACCTCTTCCAATGAGGTGAACCGGGTTCATATCTTAGATATGAATTCCGCATCCAGCTCGCACAGTGCTGACGTAAAATATACTCAGTGATAGATTCATGGATTAGAGTACCGTTGCTCCAGGCTAACCGTCGGAGGTTTTCGTGGTTTTCCTGTCCTTGTAACGCAAATGCGGGTTAGCTCCATTAGAAAGTCCTCCACGTAGGCAAATTTCTCCCTATACGTGATCCAAAAGCTACCTTGCCTTCTTAATTGGGTTCAAAATTACAAGGAAGTTGAACATTGGTAGCCATAAACTCAGAATTAAGTCAACTCCGGTTATGAAATAAAATATATAATAGACCACACTGACAAAATATTTGATAAATACTCTAGTTACTGATATCAGCGATAGGGTTTCAACGGTTGATGAAATTTAGATTGTTTAAAGGGGAGGAGAAAAAGACTTCAAACTCAAAGTTTGTCAAAATCCTATCAATCTGAGGGGGCATTTTTGGATTTCAGGAAAACAATCAAATTGCTGAAGTTCGAATTAAGAGGGTTTTTCTTGGGTTGCGTGATTTTTTTTTTTATAAATGTAATGAATAATATTAGAAGAGAATTC